GGAACCGAGATGGGCGACGCGGTCGGGTTCCTGTATGGAGAGACGAATGCAGTGATTAGATCCTGACTTGCTGCCTGGAACAACCTGTTTTTAACGTGTGAAAAGATCTGAGGAAGACTTTAATGTGAAGATATTTCATGAAAGGATGATGGAGGTGCTGCAGTGTGTCCAGAGAATGGCAGCGGAGCTGGGGAAGGGGCAGCAGCACAGGTCCTGCGAGGAGCGGCTGAGGGAGCTGGGGTGTTGAGCCTGGAGAAAAGGAGGCTCAGGGGGACCTTACCACTCTCTACGAGGTTGTAGCCAGGCGGGGGCCGGCCCTGCTCTCTGGGAACAAGGGGCAGGATGAGAGGACATCGCCTCAAGCCGCACCAGGGGAGGGCCAGATTGGACATTAGGAAGGAATTCTATACAGAAAGGGTGATTGGCATTATAATGGGCTGCCCGGGGAGCTGGTGGAGTCCCTTCCCTCTAGGTATTTAAGGAAAGACTGACTGTGGCACTTAGTGCTGTGATCTAGTTGTCAAGGTGATGTTCAGTCATAGGCTGGAGTCGATCTCCGAGGTCTTTTCAGCCTAACGGATTCTGTGATTCTAGGATTAGCAGAAGAAAACACCCAAGAGAAAGGAGTCCTGGGCTGATTGAAGTGCAGGACAGCAGGAGTGCACAGCATGGGCCAGGATATGAGCCCTGGCCTACCCTTAGATAGACTTCAAAAAAAACAAACCTTTCACCATACTTAGTGCTCATCATACTTCATACTCTCCAATCAGAGTTAAGCCAGGACAAATGAGTGCAGTTAATGCCATGGTTTGGGTTTGGTTCTGGCTAGGCTGCAATACCTCTGTCAGGTGCAGCTAATGGCATTAACACCATGGTCTGTGGCAGTCTCATGCTTCATGCAGTGAGCCCTGAACCAGCACAAATTAACATCCTGCTCACTCATGGATTTGCAAACTTATTTATGAGGCCACTGATTAGCAAGTCTATGCTGAATGTTCAAAGCTTAGCCGTCAAAGTCCTCCTCTCATTTCAGGATCACTCCTATCCTTTCTGACACTATTAGCCTTTCTTTCTGCCAAGCAACAGATGTGAAGTATGGCAGATTGACAGAGACTGTTCTTAAATTACTATCCTGCTCACTAGAAATTACTGTAATGTAGCTCAATTTTATTTTCTTCCTTTATTTCTGCTTAATGGAGAGGGGAAGAAGCTGTTGTTAAATACTGCCACCAGTTGTCTGTGTTTAAGTCTTAAAATATCTTAAGGTGGGCTTTCCAGTTCTCAAAAATATTTCCATTACTTTGCAGTCTGTGGATTCCCTTTCATTTTTTTTTTCCCCAGATACTTCTTTCTTCAGTAACCTGAGCTTCTGCAAGCACTGAACTTGACTGGAAGTTGCTTTTGGCACTGCAGCAAGAGCCATTGTGGCTGTACCCGAGCCTGGCCACACTGTAGAGCTGCAGCAGTCACTGCTGGCCTGCCACGTTTTCTGTAGGGCTCTACCACAGCCTTACCCCCTGCTCTTGAGATGGCCAAGCCTCTCATTTTAGGAGAACAAACCTACAGGATTCTTTCCAACCCATGTTTTGCCAGTCACCTTCCCAATGTTTTGGTACCTCTTCCCAATTTCCTATGCTGGTTTTACCTTCTGAGTCCAGTCATGACAGAGGACACAGGACTGACACCATGAATGGTTTCAAGCATCAGCACTTTATTGCCCCCCAGTACCTTTATAGCCTTCTCCCTAATCTGTAACACCCTTTCACTCTTTTGTGACTGGTATATAAAAATGAGCATTCCCTGCTCCTTTTCCTTTGTATGGTCACTTGTCCTACACCAGCTGCACATTAATGGGGTGAGACTGCCTGCAGCACTCTCTTCTTTTACAATCTATTCTCCCACACATTCTCTTCTCATCACAATACCCTGGACTAACCAATGTTTCACATCCACCTCCGGCTTTTTACTTTTCCCAGTTTTCAAGTTTACTCATCTGTGCAGCCTCCAGCTTGTCTTTATTCCCCTTGGTAGGACAGAAAGATGAGCAGGGGAAACACCTAGACTGGGGGGCAGGAGAACAGATCAAAGGAGAGAGACTGCACAAGGGGCAGAATCCAACAAGTTAAATCACCCAAAAAAAAACCAGGAGGGAGTTTCCTCCTTGTAACACAAAGCCCCACCCTGGAACTTCTTATAAACTAAATAAACCACAGTGAACTATTCAAAAGGCAAATGTTTATTAGATACACTGAACTTTAAAAAACTTTAAAGAATTATGCAAGAAGTATATTTAAATATAACAGGTGTTATTGCAATTGTGCTACATTACAAAATCATTTTTCTACTGTCAGCACAATCTGAAGACCCTAATGTTATATGTGAGATCTGTTACATTGACTCTGGCACACCGTAAGTGGTCTGAGCTTTCCTGTTCAAATGTCATTTGTGCTGCACCAGGCTGTTCTTGAGGGCAAGATCAGCTCTCCATGGAACTACAGCTTTTGTGTTTCAGCAAATAAAGGAACTGGCAAAGAATAACAAAAACTGCTGTTTTCCTCAGCAAAAGAAGGAAAATCAAAATATGATTTCAGGTGAAAATATGAGTAACAGTTCAGGAGGTAAACTCTCCATGGCCAAGTAGTTCCTATGAATCCGACTCCAAAGTGCTTCAGGTGCACCAAAAGGAGAATGACTCAGGTCCAGCATTTACACAGATGGAATTAGTAACAGTACATTACATTCAAATCTCTTGATTTGCTTATTGCCATGCTGCACCACATTATTGCTTCATATTCTGTATCTTGAACAAGAGGTTGATGACTTCAGAGAGTTCAGAAATATCACAGAGGCTACTGACTAATACAAGAAAACGTACATGTTAAGGACAGGAAATCAAAGACTAAACTCAGTCCTTTGTCACTGAGGCGTGCTGGAAACAAAAATAGAAAAAAAAAAAAAACAAATACTGATTTTCCTAGATTAAATCTGCCATAGCACTGTAATAATGGAAGCATTCTAGGCATGTTCTAAACAAGAAGTTTAACTCTTCTAACTAATGAATGGCAAGATTTATTTCTCCTAGGAGGACATTAACAGTCTGGACAGTAAGACCAATCATAATAAAGGTAACAAACTGGGAGGAGTAATCCAAGCTCTTTTTCACAATAGATAAAAATATAGGTGAATTCAAGGCACAAGTATTTTCAAAATTAATGCACATTATTTTCTTTGGAGCTAATCATACAAACTAAGCCCTAATTACACTATTAACAAGCTGTACACAGAGCCTTTATGTGCATCACTTGTAACAGCACTATCAGAGAATGATTACAAAATAATTCACATACAGATGTGCACACATAAACATTATCAGCATTGACTGGATCTCTACAGTAGAAAAAAAAAAAAGAAATATTCCTGCAAATAGCTTACAGTTCTTAGACAGTAACATTATCATGAACTTGTGTATGACACAAAGGCAGCGAGCAGAACACAGTCAGAGCTGGTTTGTGGCAATGCTCACAGTGCCAACACAATTGTCATCCATTTTAATTAATGCCATCTGAAATAATTCCATACTGAAGAAACTTGTGTACTAAACATATTTTACAGAACCCAAAGCACTGCTTGGCCCCCAACTAGATAGCAGGTTTCTGCTTAGGAATCCCATCTTACCCTGTAGCCTCCTTTTCTGAGTATATGGTGCTCAGATTTTCTTAATTGGGCACAACAAATTGATTCATTTGTAATTTCTTGTGTACATGAGATTACATTCAGATGAAAATATTCGTTGTGCCTCACAGTGATCAAGTCTTGTGAGATTCTTAATGCTCTTGCACTGGGTTTTGCCATCTTCAATGGTAAAGAACCCCACAGCTACTTGCCTATTTGGGCAATTCAGAAAAATGAAGCCCTGGCTTTCCTGAGCATTGCCACTAGCAGACCATAAACATATCTGCATTTTTATTGCTCCAGCTGAGTTTTGTGAATTGACAAATATGAAACATTTTTCCCACCTGAGTTTCAGTATCTGGAATTGCACACTTATGAGCATCCTGAACACCTTGGTTTCAGCAAGCCCAGCCAAACTACAGCCCCCAAACACTCTGGGTCTCCTGCCATCTCTGAGCCTGCTCCAAAGCGTTCTCCTGTCTCTGCTCTTCAGAGCTGGGCTGGGCTCTGCTGACCAGCATTCCCCAGTGCCTCGGGCAGTGAGTGGGCTTACTTCTTACTCTGTCCTTGCAGCAAGTCAAAGGAAAACAGGATAAACAAAGTGTTTACCTAAGATAATGAGGTGAACTCAACTATTTTGAGGAAGAAACTGAACAGGCCGTAGTGTCCTTGCTCTCAAGCACAGGTGACCAAAGCTTCCTCTGAATCTCTGCCCAGGTGAGCATTTCCTCTTCCCCCATCATCAGCCTCTCTCACAACTTTGACATGTTAAAAATACTATTTTAAAAGCTTCAGTAAGTTATGATAAGGGTCCATATCAACATAATCTGCATTAATATCTCTGCTTCAACAGAGCACAAACAAAGCTGTCTTTGATAAGAACTGCATTAGTGCCAATCAAAATTAAAAAATAACAGTACAATCTGGACCCCTTGGTGCTGGAGGGGAAGGCACAGAGCCCAATCCCCAAATGCATACCAGACACACAGTATAAAATGGAAGAAATTCCACAAATTATGCCTACTTAACCACTCCCAAGGAGGGAATCTACAGCTACAACTACATGATTACCAGACAATGGTCTGTGGCTGATGGCTGTAAAAGGGAATGCTTCAGCCACAAGCCAAGGGCTAGAGGCTGCGTGTGCTGCAGTGATCAGTGATTCAGAACCTTCCAGAAGCCTGGTTGCAAGAAAGCATCAACTGTCTTTTCAATTAACATCACACTGACAAAGAACAGAAGTGGGCCTCAAAATAGAGAAGAAAAATATGTACTCATTTCTCTTTAGCAGAATGAAGAAAATTCTTAGAATTTATTTTTTGTGTGTGACTTGGAGGTGCTTGAGGCCTCATATGGCTGGACTGAAGTTACATCTTTGTGCAGGTGCTCTAGAGCTACCAAACCTACTACCATTTATGATGGAAATATTTTGATTATAGCAGATGACATTAATAATCTTCTCTCCTAGCTGAGACAAAGGAAAAAAAATAAAACCAACTTGCTGCTCAAGCCCATAAACTGCAAGCATCTAGATGTGGATAAGAGTGAGAGGTTAAATCTTTGAATCCATCTACACGTAAGTGAAATGCATTGGAGAACAAGTGGCTCAGGAATGCGACTTCCAAATTAATGCATCCTTCTAGAAAAATGGTACATTTTCATTAAATCAAGGTCAAATTCTTCTTTTCTAGTACATCTAAAAATAACTGTTGTAACAGAGCAGGCCATAAGTGCAAATTATTTACAGAGTAAACAAGAAAGAAGAAAAACTCACTGCCTGTTTTAAAGAAATTATTGCGTAAGTAACTGCAATTTAGCAGTGCTCCACACCTGTAACTGTTCAGCTTTGATACAGGTTCTCAAGAACTGTAAGCAGAAGTTTCCTGCATCTACATTTCTGCATTTACTGGTTCATTAAACACTGTCATTTTCAAAAATAGGTAACAGTAGCAGTACATAAATTGTTAAGAAAAGACAACTAAACTGTAAAATGAATCTTCAAAACCATGGAAAGCAGTATCTTGTTATTTACAGAGTAGTGCAGTATTATAAACACAGATTAAATGATACTGTTCTACACCTACAGAATAAGCACTGTTTAAAAACAGCATAGCATGACAACATTACAAGTCTGAATATAAACAAGAGGAAATCAAAGAAAAAGGAGGATATTTTTCAAATTGCATCTCTGATGAAGTGCTCCTATAGTCTTTGACATTTTCATTTACAATGATGGCACAAGCTATATACACTGTTAGTACATAAAATCAGTTACAGGGCAATTACCATCGCAACCAACAGAACTTATTCACAGGTACTGAAATTGCCATTTCAAAGTAAAACCTGGTGAGCAGAAACAGATGAAACTTAGAAAAGGATTAATTTATCTGATCCATTTGTCTTACGTTACCAAGGGATTTTTTTTGGGCAATGTGAATGTACATGCTCAGGGACTGACCTCCTGATCAATCACTGATATCCAACTACTTATATTTAATCAGTATTCCCACCCTATCCAAAGCAGTGTTTGGTATTTAGCCAGAAACTGAAATTTGTGTCCTTTCCTGAGGTTACAAGTTAATGCATCCCAAAGTGCAGCTCCCAGTGCTCTTTAAAACTCATGACCATGTTACTGAAAATGGTGACTCCCAGTTTGGCACAGCTTCACTGAGGGTCAGAATTTCCATCTCATGAAGAAATACTCTGGGAAAACAGATGAGGAAAGTTCAGTGGAACAAACAACGTTCCAGAGATGGTGCATGTTTTCACTCTCCTGAGCAAGCACGGAGACCAGAACCCCAAGGCCAGGGCTGGCTCTGCAAGGGGTTTTATGGAGTTTTTCTGCCCTGGCACTGACCAACTTCCCTACTGGCTGCTGTCCTCAGAATTCCTTTGAAAGGCAGTTCCTGAGGCTTTTGGTGATTTACAGGAAATTGGTACACAGACAATCCTATTCATTTTCCAACTCACAAGTGCTATTTCAGATTTTATGAACTTTGTGCCTCAACTGTACAACTATGTACTGGAAATAAGGAGTCCTAGGACAGAAATCTAGGGAGGACTTAAAAAAATGCCTTTACTGAGAAAACTCCAACCCAATAACGGTGGTGAATCAAAATACAGGCGCTTCCTAGGCTTCAAAATTATCTAAAACATATGGCTACATGGACAGCTCCACAGATATTTTTCTGGTGAAAGGAGGGATCTTTCCAGAACTTCTTTATCTGTGACCAAGCAGCTTATACAATAGTTTAACTGTGCTACAGTAAGTGATTGTCTGAAGAAAGGCCAAGGACTACTTGCTGGATACTCTGCCATCTCTGCAGATGAGACATCCAGAAGACAAATTTTTAAGATGTAGGGCACAAACTCAAGTCCCCACCTCTATCACCAGGTAATTTATAATGTGATTCATAAAACTGGGAGAATCCAGAGTTCAACATCCTTTTATTTCTTAAATAGTTTAGACATTGCAGTGAGCAAAGAGTGAACCCAGTAACTTTCAGCCTTCACCCACACTATTCAAAAAGGTAAAAACTGTGATTCAAACTTTGCCTCACAGATGCCACTGTGATGCCACTGAACCCACTGGTTTTCCATGTCATGTAGCCTTGTACATCTTTGCTGGACATTTATCAACACTATGAATAAGTTCCACAGGGTTAAGTTACACAGCCGTCACTGCAGTGTGTTGTAATAGCTCACCAAACAACCAGTTTCTCCTTCAGAAGGAAGCATTCCTCAAAGATTCTCATTTTGTCCAGTGGAGCTTGTTTGTTGGTGTTTTGGTTTGGTTTTTTGTGGTTTTGTTTGTTTTGTTTTTTAAATTCCAACCCATGCATGATCTGACAAATTTCTAGTTGGTAGTAGAAGCAATCTGCTTGTAAGAATGATGCATATGAATTATAATTGAGCTTTTTCAATTGCAGATAGTTATCCTAGACGATTCTTTGGGATTTACTTGCCTGTATATTTTTCCCATTAGCAGAACCAGAAACACCTTGAAGATACTGCTTTTAAAGACACAGGCACAAATGCTCAAGGCACTTCCCCCAAAAAGCTTTCGAGATTTTAGTTACTAATCACACATCAGGCAAACTTTCCGACCATTGTACAACATCCTGCTCTTATATCAGAGCCCACAGCAGATATAACTGAACTCTGGATAGGTTTGTAGACTTGTTTGGCAAGTTAAATTAACCCTTTTTCTAAAGGCACAGGATATAATTTTCATATGACACTTAGGCAGGGAATTCCCACTTCAGGAATCTTTAAAAAGCCGGTCTTGCAGCAGACCACTGGATTCATTCTTCTTTTTTCAAGGAAAAATAATATAAATTACAGTTTAAAGCCTTTTTCATTATATCTATGAATGGTCACACAGCCATGATACGATACTGGCCTGGGCATGGCTGCTACTCCTGTGATAATGCCCGTTGCAGGGTCATAACAAAGAATAGTGTCTGTGGCTTCACCGTTTTCCCGTCTTCCACCAAGGATATAGATTTTTCCATTACACACAGACATGCCACAATTCTCCTGTTGCAAGAAAACACAAGGGGAATACACGGTTATTTAAAAAAACGAGACTTGATTTATGTGTGTCTGCCCCTGTGCAGGAGGGCACCACTGTGACTGCCTTTGGTAAATAGCCTGGCCTATAAATGTTCCCTCCTGAAAGGGACAGTGCAGAAAGCATAAAAATTAGGAAAAGCAGCAGCACAAGCCTACAGAAA